GAATTGATGCGTTTAAATTATGGTGTTGTCGAAGAATATTAATGTACTGTGGACTGCTAGATGAACGATTGAATATGTCTTGGAGGAAGGACAGCTGGAATGCTCCTTAGAAGCAAGAGTGGCCAGACTTTGCCTCTCTTTGGACATGTTATCTGGAGTGACCAGTCCCTGGAGAAGGACATTATGCTTGGTAAGGTAAAGAGTCAGTGAAAAAGAGGAAGACTGTCAATGAGATGGATTGACACGGCCCGCAACAGTGGGATCAAACATAGCAACAACTTTGAGAATGGCACAGGACCCAAGAATGTTTTGTCCTGGTGTACGTGGGGTCACTATGAATCTACACCAAGTAGAGAACACCTAACAAGAACAACAAAAAAACCAACAACACATTTGTTCAAAAGCTGGTCAATAATAAGGAAGACCAAAGAAGAACTGATGCATTTGAATTATGGTGTTAGTGAAGAAAAGGAAATATACCATGGACTGTCTGAAAAAGAACAAATCTATCTTGGAATAAGTACAGCCAGAATGCTCCTTAGAAGGGAGGATGGTGAGATTTTGTTTCATGGACATGTTATCAGGAGGGACCAGTCTCGTGCTAAGGGAAATACACCCAAGATTTTAAAAATGTCCTGTAGAGACACTTTTGTTCTTGTTAGGTGACGTTGAGTCATCTCCGACTCATAGTGACCCCATGTACAACAAAACAAAACACTGCTTCGTCCGATGCCAGCCTCACAATCCTTACTATACTTGAGCCCATAATTGCAGCCACTGTGCCAGTCCTTCTTGTTGAGGGCCTTCCCCATTTTCATTGACCCTCCACTTTACTAAGCATGATATCCTTCTCCAGGGAATGGTCCCTTCTGACAACATGACCAAAGTACATGAGATGAAGTCTGGCCATTCTTGCTTCCAAGGAGCATTCAGGCTGAACTTCTTCCAGGACAGATCTGTTAGTTCTTCTAGCAGTCCACAGTACTTTCAGTATTCTTTGCCAACACCACAACTCAAAAGCATCAACTTTTCTTTGGTCTTCCTTATTCATTGTCCAGCTCTCACATGCACATGAGGTGATTGAAAATACCATGGCTTGGGTTAGGTGCACCTTAGTCTTCAAGGAGACATACATCTTTGCTCTTCAGCACTTGAAAGGGGTCTTTTGCCACAGATTTGCCCAATGCAATATGTTGTCTGATGTCTTGACTGCTGCTTCCATCGGCATTGATTGTAAAACCAAGTAATATGAAGTCTTTGACAACTTCAATCTTTTCTCCATTTATCATGATGCTGCTTATTGGTCCAGTTGTGAGGATTTTTGTTTTCTTTTTATTGAGGTGTAATCCATGCTGCAGACTGTAGTCTTCAATCTTCATCAGTAAGTGCTTCAAGTTGTCCTCACTTTCAGCAAGCAAAGTTGTGTCACCTGCATATTGCAGGTTGTTGATAAGCCTTTCTGCAATCTTGATGCCATGTTCTTCTTCATATAGCCCATTTTCTTGGATTATTTGTTCAGCATGCAGATTGAATCCTCCCCCCCCCCAAAAAAAAAACCCAACAACAACAAAAAAAATCTCACTGCCATCAAGTCTGATCCAACTCATAGTGACTCCTCCTTGAGTTTCTGAGGAAGTATCACTATGGAAATAGATTGCCCAATCTTCCTTCCAAGGGGTGGCTGGTAAGTTTGAACCGCTAGACTTCTGGTTAGCAGTCAAATGCCTTAGGCACAATGCCACCAGAGCAGATTGAATAAATATCATGAAAGGATACAACCCTGACACACTACCTTCCTGATTTTAAACCATACAGTATCCTCTTGTTCTGTTCTAATGCCATCCTCCTGGTCTATGCACAGGTTCCTCATAAGTACAATTAAGTGCTCTGGAATTCCCATTCTTCTCAATGTTATCCACAATTTGTTATGATTCACACAATCAAATGCCTTTGCATAGTCAATAAAACACAAGTAAACATC